GTACTGATGATGGACATGTTCAACTCATCGTTGTCTTGCGGTGGGGCCAAATGATCACCGCGAGGCGAATGGGGTAAGATTGACCTGGCGAAGAGATGGCACAAGGAAACAGGTGAATGGACAGAACAAAGATTGTGTGCGGTCCGAGGTGTGAGAGATCGTACCGAGTGGCTCCGGCCAACCTCGCCGACATGGGCTCGTGCGGTTGCTCGGATTGGACACCTAGATGGGAATCCAGCAAGAGGTTCGTTTCAAACTCCGTGAGACAAGCGAGGAGCAACCACAGCTTGGCTCACTTTGTCAGCATGGCATTGTCAGCACGCATAGAGGGGTCAACTTACAGCTCAAACCGCGTTCAATACACTCGATCACGGCGGCTTGCAAGTGTGGGCCGGCGTGTTGCTGCGCCTTGGCCACGGCCGCTGCCAATGTCAGCCTAAAAGATAAAACGGCAGACAAGATGAGATCGCCCTGGGGTCAAGGTGATGTGACCATGATGGATGGGTGCCGTACCGGTGCTGAGCCTTGGAAGCACAGAGCGCCTTGATGAGGTCACGCAAGTCGGCACTGACTTCAGGCCAAAAGTACTCGTCTTTGAAACAATCTACGCGCCAGCAATGCGGGGCATGTCATGAAGCCGGGGCAACAACAAAAGGGAATGTCTGCTGGCTTTGGGTGGCAAGGTCGAGAAAGAATGCCTTGCGGGCCCACCTTGGCGTATGTTCTCCTTGATGGGGGGTTGGCCCACGAGATAGGGACAGCTACCTTCAAGAAGGGTGATGCCAAAGCTAAAAGCATCAGCAGCCGTTGTCGGGGTTCTGGTGGTGGAGCGAGCCAGATCGGTAAGTTTGTATTCGGGTCAGTGCAAGAGAAGGGGCCAAGAACAATGGTCGAAGAGCGATCGAAACGATGAACGGCTCACTCATTGAGAACTTCCGGGGCCAGGTAAATGCCGTCGCCATCGACAGGAAAATTGGGCGGGGAGCTCATGTCGATGGAGATGCCAAAGTCGCACAGAACGATGTGGCCGTCCCGTCGCAATAGGATGTTGTCCGGCTTGACGTCCAAGTGAATCAGGTTGCGCTCGTGCATTGATGCCAGGGCCTGCAAGATGATGGGAGGTGAGCCGCATGCCAGGAACATTGCAGGCAAGTCGCTTGACGGACAAACGCTGACCTGTCCGACGGAGAGGATCAACGCCCAGGACATTTCCTCGGGTAGACCACGTTCGTATATCTTACACAACCTGCCCAGCGTCAGGTCATAAAAGGGCAGAACGAGCGCCACACTACTCAAAGGGCAAATTCAAAACAAGGTGAGCCACTCTGCACCGCACCGTAAGTATAAACAAGGGATCGATCAGTCAAGAGGGGCCTCTGATACCAACCCGGGTTCGGTATGGAAGACATTTTCGTATTGCAGCACGCCGGGGACATCGCGAAGCCGATCAAGCATCTCCCGTTCCCGCTGTTGGCCAAGAAAGGGGATAGGCGGGTTCGGATTCGTGAGCGAGTCTGAGCAGGAGAGGCAATGCCAAAAAAAAAAAAAAAAAAAAAAAAAAAAAAAAGCGCAGAGCGGGGCACAGACGTTGGCATTGGGCCCAGTTGAATATTTGATGACGTGCTTCTGAAAAGGTTGGCCCTTGGCGTGAACCAGGAAGACTTTGGATACTTGATTTTGGCTGAGGATCTGTTCTTCCTCAAAAGCCTGCGGTTGTATGGCATCCGAGATCGAGGCCGGTGAGTTGAAGGAAAAAATGAAGACTAGGAGGAAAGCATCCACATGGGAGGACGAGGTCGCACGCACCCCCTTTGTCATGAATGTAATGCTGTCTGCTGCTTGATTGGCTGTGCGGAGTGGCAGGGCGGGGTTGAGCTACAGCTGTGACGAGAGGTGACAAAGTCTATCAAAAGGACGGGATCGAGTCATCGGACCTGCGCCGGTGCGGCGGCTGCGTATCGCCTTCATGGGTGATTTACTGGCAGCATTGGGTGGTGGCTTGGCGCGTTGAGGTCTGCAAGGGGAGAGGAGCCGTGTCAAAGACGATGGTCAGGGCGGCACGGCGGGTGAAGCGGAGCGGAGGCGAACGGTGTTGCGGACAAGCACAACAAGGAAGAAGGCATGGCAGGAGAGTATGGGACGAGATGAGCCGAGTCGAGGCGAGGACGGGGAGACGGGGGAGGGGGAGAAGAAACACAAAAAGGGCAGCGATGACATGTCTGGACACTCGATCAGTTGATTGAGAGGAATCGAGGGGCATACCACCAAACCAAGCCTTTTGTTGCAACAGAAGAGGAGGAGGAGGTGGTGGAGGCGGAGGAGGCGGCGGCGGAGGAGAGATGACAGATAGGGCAAGAGACAGGGGGGGGAGAGGAGGAGGGAGGTTTTAATGAGGCGGGGGAGAGAGCAACATTGGGTATCATGTCTTTGGGATTTGCATTGGCAGCGGGGGAGGGGACAAAGAGGCGTCAACCAAACAAGGACAACGAGGACAACGAGGACAAGGGGGAGGGAAACAACACCAACGACACCAACACCATCACCAACGACACCAACAACAACGACAACAACAACAAGAGAACGAACGAACGCTTGATCAAACAAAAGAAAAAGCAAAAGCAAAAAGCAAAAGGTAAAAAGCAAACAACAACAACAACAAGACAATAACGAATGACGTTGAAAAGGGCAGCGGGCGTACCGGGGTTGGAGGTCATGGGATGAGAGGACGGGGGCAGGGAGGGGTCTGGAGCGAGGGCTGGAGGAGGTTGGGATGGCATCCATGAGGTCGGCGTCTTGGGCACGGCGCTGTGTGGGGGGGGAGTAGTTGGCCCAGGGGCGCTGGCAGGCGGGAATGGGTTTTGGGGCGGTAACGGCCGAGCCCAAGGCGTGGAAGTGAGATGGAGGCGTCGCGGCCATCATGAGTGAGGGTGGACCGGTCATGAGCGTGGGGGTGGACCGGCCGAGGGCGGAAGCAGCGGTGGTGATGGAGATGGTCGGGTTGGTCGGGGTTGCCGCCGCGAACCGCGTCGCGGCGGCGGGACGAGATTGGCCGTAGCCCGCCGTGTTGCTGCGAAGCCAAGTCCACGTCCAGGGCCCACTCAAAGGAGCGCGCGTCAAGCACAAATCCCCGGGAAACAACTCGTATCGGTGCGCCAGGCACCTGTGTGCGTACGTGCGTGCCTATGTGTATATGTGCGTGCAGATTCCAGGCCCTCGATGTGGCGCCGCCAATGATGGGAAGACGAACGAAACGATGCGACGCCCCGAGACGGACGAGAGCCGCGGAAGCAGAAGCAGGAGGAGGGAGGAGTCGTCTGACGTGTTCAACCAAGAATGAAGAAAAATAATAAAAATAATAAAAAAATAATAAAAAAATAATAAACGGCGACCGCGCAAGGGGTTTTTTATAATATACTTTAAACGAAGGAGTAATTAAATGTAGTTAAATTAATGTTTATGAGGTTTTGTTAGGGTCATCTAGCCGAGTTTTTGACGTGGATAATGAGGTTTATGAAGTATTTGTGGGATGACAACCGGGGTTTCATAAAAACCTTGCGAACGCTAATTCAACTTTATCAAAGGGCAGAGCCCCCGTGCTTCAATCCTCTGGGTCGAGAAGGGGACGCGGATACCCTTGTTTTCTCTGTGAGGCACCATCACGGCCTTCTTGGGCAGCGCTCCGGCTCGCTGAGGTTGAGCATGTGTCCCTTGCCTTCAGGCCCGCCCATCAAACGGGTGGCAGCGCAAGAAGAGTATACCTTGACTTTATCGACTCTAAATTACGACTTTATGTATCTTTTATGCTATTGCCAGTCTGAGTTAATGTAGAAGAATATGTGGTTATTGCAGATCATAGTTTGCTAGCGTACAAGCTGATGGGATCTTGCCTAACCTCAACGTTGGCAATTTATAGTGTCAGGGTTAACAAATTTTCAAGGAATGCAGGTCAGTTTCAGAGAGACGTTTTTGAAAGCTGAATGGGTGAAGAGAGGCACTGCATTTGCGACTCAACGTTAACACGGCAAACCCCTTGAAAATCAGAGAAGTGATGCGTTTGGAAGCAATGTTCAGAGGGTTGGGGTAGTCGCGATGCCATGACACGCTTCGCCAATCGGCAAGGGAAAACGTCCGTTTTCTTCCTTGTTCTGGAGTGGCAGCCGGGGGCTGGGCTGGTTTCTGTCAAGGCGTCGAGAGGCGCGTGGGCTCACTCGGCTGCCTGTTCGAGACCACCTGCATCTTATCTTAGGCAACTTGAAGCCGAGCTGATGCAGCCCTCTGGCGGCGCTCTTTGGAAATTTATAGTACGCCATTCGACATGGGGCACATGCTTGGAATCCAATGGTCGTCGTCCTTTTCTGACCATGCCGCACATCGTGGTTCGAGCAGGAGAACACAATGGCTAACTGTGTACGCATAAGACGTCCAGCGAGACACACACGGCCCACAGACACAAAGAGACACATAAGGGACAACTGCAGGCAGAGCCAGCGCGGCTGCCGCCAGGTGTAGGTGTTGCAGCATGTCCCCTTCCAAAACCACACGCCCCATACCCATAGGAGGGCTGTGACGTCAAACGTGTAGCCACACACACACACACACACGCATGTAAACGTCCACACGTCCAAGTCTGGGAAAAAAACCGTTACAGTCGCTACCAGCTGTAAATGATATCCCATTGGATAATTTCGTTTTGAAGGATGGTAGTCAAACTTGTCTCAATTTAAAGTTATATTCTTCAAATTCAAGTATATGTCAGCGGATACGGGCAAGCCGTTGCAGCTGACGGGCTGTACCTGGTTATTGAAGATACTTACGTAGTTTGTGCAGATTTCATAGCAACAGCAGAAATACTTGTTGAATACTTTTATCAAGTTGTTGTCAGTTTCAGTTGCTTGGCCTCGGCGCCGGCGATCAACACACACACACATCGGAGAGTCGTGAGCAGTCCATGCGACAGGCACGCCCGCCTCTCATCAATTTCGTGCACCCGCGACCCATCAACGCCGGGCTCGCAGACGCGTGAGGCCAGTCAAAGTGCCATCCCGGACCACCAAGACAGCCTTGGCGGCCTCAACCTCGCGTGCACGGGTTGCAGTCGCCTCTTGGCCTTGGCCCCATTTACTCTCCTCTCTCTCTCTCTCTCTCTCCTCTCTCTCTCTCCGGCGCCCCTCTCGCCCTCCCACCTTTCTCTCTGTGTGCCCCTCCGTACTGACCTGGGGGGCGCAAAGTCACTGACCTCTCCTTTTCATCCGAGGTCACAAGAAAACTCTGATCTGGCCTGCTTCAAGGACCGGTGACCGCTCATATGGCTGACTTGCTTACCAAGCGAGTGACCCAGCAGGTCAGCGGGGGTCAGCGGAACAGCAGCAGCGCAATCGGTGCCGGTTCGGGTAGTTCGGTCCTTGGTAGCAGCGCCGGTGGTGGCAGCGCTTCCACCATCGTCCCCATGCCGGCTGCTGCCAGCTCGCTCGTCGCCGCCACCAACGAGCCCCACGAACTCTCCCTGCAAGTGGATGTCATTTTGGACTCTGACTATCGTCAAAACGTCTTCGACTTTGAGGACCTCGTGTACAAACTCAAAGGCATCACTGCCGTAAGCATCGGCAATCTATCCCCTCGGTTCACTCGTCCCCTGCCCCCACTCGCACTCGTCGCACCAGATTTTCTGATGGTGCTACACTTCTTAATTGTTGTGCTCATGTCCACCGTCGCTCACCTTCCCCCTCCTCCTCGTCCGTAGAGCGGATTGAACGCCTTGGCTCATGAAGAACAAGCCAATGGCAATTCACGCTTCGATTTCACCAACTACATCAAGCGCTGGGTACGCCAAGCCCTCCCCGCCCGGCGCCTCTTTACTTGCCCCCACATCTGACCCTCAACACTCTGTGCCGTCATCCCACCCTCATCTTCACCTTCACGCGATGCCTACCACGCTTTGTTTGCACCGCAGACGGGCCCTGGTGCTCGCGAACTGTACCTACAGGTTCATCCCTCGCACAACAGCCCATGTCTCATTGTGATGCACTCCAATCATTTTGCCACCCTAGCCCACGCGCTCGCCCCTCACAGCTGGCATGGCATGGGCCCCTTCCCCCCACCTAGTCGGATCCTCAGCAAGCAGACGATCTGGATGAATTTATCGACGATGACAACTACAACCCGGTATCACTTCTGCTTCGACTACAGCCCACCAACCCCATGCTGCGGATGGTTCTTGCCGCTCCCGCACGCTGACAATGTACTCGCGCACCCCTTGCCCCGTTGACAGGCGCATGTCAAGGCGTTTGCAAGCGCTAAGCATGGTTCGTTCTTTATGCATAAGGGCGTTGTCACGGCAGACGTGGTGCAGGAGCAAACGGTACGTACAAACGTCGCTCGTGTTTGATTGTCATCTCAACTCCCATCGCTTGGGCTCACCGACTGCCTTTTCACCATTCCGGCAGGCCGAGGCTGACGAAGAAGACTCGCCTGCCCGGCCCACGACTTCCAAAAAGTCCAAGACAAGTCTGGCCAACAAACAAAAGTCCAAATCATCTTTGAGCAAGACCACCAAGCGCACCTCGGCCACCATCAACACTAGCAAAGGTACTCAGAAAATTACCAAGTCAAGTGATGGCAAAATCACCAAAACCGCAAAAGCCAAGCGTTCAGATGCGACCAAGAAAGCGCCAAAGTCATCCCGTTCCTCAACCTCAAGCGCTGGCAACAAGTCAACAACCTCAAACATGAGCGGTCCCGCCACTGTGACCAAAAAGTCTGCGAAGAACAAGCCTGGCTCCAGCGGTGGCAGCAGCAATCACGCCGACGCTGGATCTGGCAAATCTGCGACTAAAAGCTCTGCCGATGTTGCCAAGAAGAGCACCAAAAAGTCTTTGACCAAGGATGCAAGCAAGATGAAGAAGACAGCCAAGACCAACAAACCAGACAAGGCCAAAGCTTCCACCAAGCCATCATCTGCCTCTGGCCTCAGCCCCAAACGCCCCTCAACCAGCGCCTCAGCCTCTAGTAAATCTGACACCCCATTGGCCAAGAAGAAAAAGGCCAAGAACAACACCTCTGATTCAGGAAGCAAAACGCCCAGCAAGCGTGCTTCGACTCAATCCAACGAGTCGTCACCCGAAATTCCAGGCCAAGGCTCGTCCAACGCCGCAGCCACCCCCAATCCCAAACGGGCCAACCCCTGGACAGCTGCCACTCCCACGTCTGGTGATGCCCACACCTCGCGTCGCGCATCCACGGCCACGCCCAATGAAAACATGGCGCAGGCGCGCACCGGTGATGCATCATCTTCGGCATTGGCAACCCCTGACTCCAAGCCCAGTACACCAGGTACTGCTCGAATGGCGACGTTGGCTGCTGTTCGCGTTGGGTTAAGAGTGCCCTGCCTACTGACTCACCCTGGGCTGCCTCGCTTCAGCTTCAACCCTGCCGCTGGGCGTCCAGACGGCATTGGATGCACTGCTCGAGGCCAGCAAGAGCCTGGACGACACTTCGAAGATAACGCCTGCTTTGGAAG